AACATGACTACTTTCTTAAAAATCGAAGAGAGGGTAAAGGAACAGTACCATTGCTGGATAATTGGAAAGTCCCTGTTGCTTCGTGGCAAGGTAGACTAGCAAACATGCCCAACCTTTACTCACATTCGAGAAAATACTCCTAACAAGATTGCTTGCTCCAAAATCGAAGAGGCACCGCCCTCCGAATCTCGAGAGCCAGACTCCCAACATGATTACTTTCTCAAAAATCGAAGAGACACTGCTCCCCGAATCTTCGAGAGCCAGACCCCCAGCATGATTGCTTTCTCAAAAATCGATGAGGCATCGTTCTCCGAATCAATCGAAGAGGCGCTCGCTTTCTCAAAAGCTGGGCTGCTTAGAGACCACGAGGGCCGATCTCAGAAATCGAAGAGGCACCTACTTTTCTAGCCTTGTCAGCACCTGTTACACGCACACTCAGCTTTGCAGAAATTATGGGCATTCTGTCGAAGACTTCTGGTGAAGTAGAAAGCACATGAATCTTACTGTTCAATCACCCACTTCCCACACGCAACAATAGCTCATGGGTACCACAGATAAATTTTGCCAAAGTTCTCTGCCAAAGTTGAGCACGTGAAGCTTGCAACTCCCACTACATCGCTCTGACCAAGAAAGGTAAAAGAATAGCAAAGAAACAGCACTAACAAAGTTTAGACACATAAAATTTTGAAGGTCTAGCTACCATATTATTACCCACAAGGGTAAAGGAACAGTACCACTGCTGGATAATTGGAAAGTCCCTGTTTGTCAACCTATGTGCTTCGTGGCAAGGTAGACTAGCAAACATGCCCAACCTTTACTCACATTCGAGAAAACACTCCCAACAAGATTGCTTGCTCCAAAATCGAAGAGACACCGTCCTCCGAATCTCGAGAGCCAGACTCCCAACATGACTACTTTCTCAAAATCGAAGAGAGGGTAAAGGAACAGTACCATTGCTGGATAATTGGAAAGTCCCTGTGTGTCAACCTTTGTGCTTCGTGGCAAGGTAGACTAGCAAACATGCCCAACCTTTACTCACATTCGAGACAACACTCCCATCAGATTGCTTGCTCCAAAATCGAAGAGGCACCGCCCTCCGAATCTCGAGAGCCAAACTCCCAACATGATTACTTTCTCAAAAATCGAAGAGACACTGCTCTCCGAATCTCGAGAGCCAGACCCCCAGCATGATTGCTTTCTCAAAAATCGAAGAGGCATCGTTCTCCGAATCTCGAGAGCCAGATACCACAGACCACTTTTTCAAAGTGCTCTGACAGAGTTAAAACATGTGAAACTGGCAGCTCCCACTACCGTGCTATGACCAAGCAGGGTAAAGGAATAACATTACTACTTCTTAGGGAGACTCCTATATATGTCGACCTCCATCCCCAACAGACAGGCAGACCTGCAAAAATGCTCAACCCTTCATCATATCTGAGAGGGCACTCCCAACGAAGCCTTTCGAAATATTCAGCTTTCCTTCCCCCCGATAATACCTCTGCAAACAAGCTATACTAGAGCAAGAATATCTCATATCATCAGGGTTAAAAGCAAGAGTATCCCATATCATGCTTTTTCCCTGTCTTTTCCTTTGGCCTTGTTTTTACCTGCAAGACAAGGAGAAAGAGAGCAATCAGTCAGCACTTGGAATCAAGCTTCCAGCCAGGAACTGACTGCCTGGAACCCCTTACCTGATTACTTACCTGGCATTGCTCTCGAGTACTCATCTTCAACATCTTATATTTCCAGGGAAGATTCCGCATCTGCTTGAGGAACAGATAGGGCAAGTGCGAAGGATACAAGGAAGCATGTGGAGACAAGCGTACCAGCACACGTGCCGATACATCCATTACGCTGTCAAAAGCAAAAGTATCCCATATCAGCAGGGTGGAACGTACTCTAGATTTGATGGACTTGTTTTGACCCTCAAATTCTTCAGTCGGCCTTATACTCTGGAGGAAACCAGAAAACCCTCCAGCTCAGTTCAAGAATAAGCCTGTGGAAAGTTACTTCTTCAAAAGCAAAAGTATCTCATATCATCTCTTCTCATTTTTCTTCTCTTTATCCTTCATGCTGCTGCAAGATGGGGAGAAGGTGAACAATCAGTTAGAGCTCTGATTGCTTACCTTGTCTGTCACCTCTTTCAGCAGACCCCCTAGCTCGGCGACTTGGGGGACTCCTACTACATGGTTTGTATCGCGCTTGACCAAGCCTGAAACTACAAGTAAGCTTCAAGTGAAATTGATACATTACCTTGTGCATCTCCACCAGTTAAAGATACCACCCCTGGATGGAGGAAGAGTACTTCCAGAGAAGATGCCACATCTACCTATGAGACAGATAAGGCAAGTCAAGACGACACCACACTCCGATACTTAGAAGTTTCGTGATTACGAGATCATTCTCCCACAATATTTCCTAATGTCATTTGTACTAAATCATTCACTTGTACTCACTAAAGGAGAGCTTGAACCTATGTACTTGTGTAAACCCTTCACAATTAATGAGAACTCTTCTATTCCGTGGACGTAGCCAATCTGGGTGAACCACGTACATCTTGTGTTTGCTTTCCTGTCTCTATCCATTTATATATTTATCCATGCTAATGACCGGAGCAATCTAGCGAAGATCACAAAAAGCGACCGTTTTCACTACCTAGGATCTATCTAGCAAGAGAACGGAGAATTAGATGGAGATCTCAACCTCGTAGGCCACTGAAGCTCAAGGGAAAATTTTATAGGACGGCAATAAGGCCAGCGATGTTGTATGACACAGAATGTTGGGCGGTGAAGCATCAACACGTACACAAAATGGGTGTAGCGGAGATGAGGATGCTTCGTGGGATGTGTGGGCACACGAGAAAGGATAAGATTGGGAATGAGGATATCCGAGGTAAAGTAGGAGTAGCCGAAATTGTAGGAAAGATGAGAGAAAATCGGCTCCGGTGATTTGGACATGTGCAAAGAAGGCCGAATGACGCTCCGGTTCGAAGATGTGACTACGGGACAGAGGTTCAGGGCCGAAGGGGTAGAGGAAGACCTAGGAAAACTTTGGAAGAGACTCTAAGAAAAGACAGTACTTGGATCTAACGGAGGACATGACACAAAACCGAGCGCAATGGCGTTCTAGGATTCATATAGCCGACCCCACTTAGTGGGAAAAGGCTTTGTTGTTGTTGTTGTTGTTGTTGTGCAGTGAAAGTGACTAAAAATCATTGTTCTAAAAATCGGCGGCACTAGACGACTGGTCATTACTCTAATCAATTTTTAGACGTTTGAAAATTAAGAAATGACGTTTAAACCTGTTTAGGCATCTGTCCTGCCTAACCAACGTCGACCTAGCCTGCCTCGGTTGCAACTCTCACTTATACAAAAAATCGATAACTTTCATTTTGCATTTTATTTTTTCAATAAAATGTAATAGACTTGTTGAAAACTCTAACGAACATTCATTATATATTTATTCCCATGTTCTCAATATGTTTTAAGGAAAACTAACGAAAAATCTAAAAAAACTTTAGTTTTAATGAAAAATAACAAATAAAGGTGTAGTGAATAGTACCACAGAAAGGTAAAAATGTGGTTTTTCATTAAAAGTGAATAATACCGAGAGTGTTTTGTTAAAACTCCCTATGTTTTAATACCATATAATTTATAGTTCATTTTATTTTTCAATTTATGTCTCCCAGTAAAATTAGGTATTTTTTTATTTTTTTTGGCTAAATAGCCAAAATGGTCCCTGAGATTTGCATAAATCATCACTTTGGTCCCTAACATTTCAAATCAATAAAAGTGGTCCTTGAGATTGCCCATCATCCATCATTTTGGTCATTCTCTTAAAAACTCCGTTAAGTGTCCCGGAACTCTTGACTGGAAGTTTGAGCAATTTTCAAAGCTTCGTAACTCAATCGTTTCTTAACTAAATTTGACCCATAATATATCAAAATGAAGATAGGAAAGTGTAGAATAAGATTATACCTATTTGGAAGCCCAATGGTTGCCAGAGATGGCCGAAAAATATTCTCAAAGTTGACTGGTTTTAGGGAAAACTGGAAAACTCGTTGGAAACTGGGTAAATTTTAAACGTTCATAACTTCTTCAATACTCAACAAAATCAAGTGATTCAAAAACTAAAATCATACTTCTCGACAAGAAGAAGAGAATGGTACCTTTTTTGACTGCTAACTCGCCATGGTTTGGCCGTAAAATGGCTCGAAAGTGGATGTCTTGGTCTATAAGACAGCCACTTTCGAGCCGTTTTCCGGACAAACCATGGTGATTTAGCCATCTAAAAAGGTACCATTCTCTTCATGTCATTGAGAATTATGATTTTAGTTTTTGAATCACTTGATTTAAAGTTTACCCAGTTTCTAGCGAGTTTTCCAGGTTTCCCTAGGACCAGTCAACTTTGAGGCTATTTTTCGGCCATGTCTGGCAACAATTGGGCTTGAAAATAGATATAATCTTATTCTACACTTTCCTATCTTCATTTTGATTTATTATGGGTCGAATTTGGTTAAGAAACGATTGAGTTACGAAACTTTGAAAATTGCCCAAACTTCCGGCCAAGAGCTCCAGGACATTTAACGAAGTTTTTAAAGGAAGGACCAAAATGATGGATGGTGGACAATCTCAGGGACCACATTTGTTGATTTGAAATGTTAGGGACCACAGTAATGAGTTATGCAAATCTTAGGGACCATTTTGGCTATTTAGCCTTTTTTTTAAAATCCACCTAATCTACTCAGGCCCCCACCTAGGTCCCGCTCAACCGCCTAGGCGCTAGGCCCTAGCCTGCCGGCCGACTAGCACCTTGCGTCTTTTAGAATCTTGCTAAAAATTATAAAGAATTAGTATAAGTTTACACAACGAAAGGAACATAACAAAAATGAAAGTAAAGAAAATTTAGGATGTAATAAATAATATCTTTTTGTGTGTGTGTGTGTGTAATGTATAGATTATAAGTATACATGTATAACAACTATGCGGTGAATGAGAATACGAACATGGACAAAGGCGAAGTTTTAAAAGGCTGTGCAATATAATGGAATGACATTGACTGGGTGTGGATTTATGAAGTCCTAAACGGATGCTCTGTAGCTTTGGTTGTAGAATCATAATAGCTTTGGTTGCAAAACCTGGAATTGATGTGATTGTAGAAAGATCTAAATATATATAAGGTGTGTTTTTTTTTTTAGAAAAAAAAATGTTTGATGATGAAAGACTGTTTTCGTGATATGAGAATATACATTTTTTTCATTTCATATATTTCGTTCACCGAGATGACATGATTTGATAGTATGTTATGTGTTTTTTTTTTTTTTTTTAAAGATTTTGTTGCGAATATTTTACAGTATATGTTTTGAATAATTTTCAGGAAAGTAAACCTTAGATTTGAATGGTCTGTCGTTGCAGAATTCCTCTTTAAATCGTCTGTCGTTGAGACACTTTCATTGCAAGGGCAACTGAGAAGCTTTCGGAGGCTGCTGCAGCTTACATTGAGGTTCCTTCATTGTGTTGTATTTGGATTTTGTTATTTTAGAAATATCTTTTCAGGAAAAAAGAAATTTGTTGTTTGTGCATTTTTTTTTTCTGAACACGTTTTCGTCATGTTTTCCTGGAATGAGAAGGCACAGAAAATTAAGGCAGGGAAGCAACAGCAGGTACAAATGGAGCAGCTACAGCTATTGGGGCAGCGCGGTAAATTCTCATATCTGTTTCATCATGTCTTCCTCTCTTCATTACATTCCGAATCTTCAAAATCCTTACCGATTCGTGTAAGTTCTAATATATTTTTCTATGTTTTTTTGATTTTGGTTTCCAGGGTTACAATCTCAATCAACAAGATGCAAAACGAGGAGGGAATCATCACCCAGCTCTAGATCCCGAGAAAATGGTATTCAATCGAATCTAATATTGTGTTATTAGGCAGCAACATGTCTACAGGTTACATCTCTATTATGTTAAAATGATTTTGTCTATTGTTTTACATTCAATTATTTACTGAAGTTTTTCTGTACTGAATATCATCATTGATTTTAAACGATTGTTATTCCATAGAAGCTTACTTTTCTTTGATATCAAGATTTTCTGATAAAATGGTAAAAAGTTGACTTGCATTTGACAAACAATTGTCATCATTATAGCAGTACAACGCTCATCGACATGATCGTCCCAATACATTATTTTTTTTGTTTTGTGCTTTGGCAATTTGACTCATCTTATCTTGCCAAAAGATGCATGTGAGTTTTAAGGATTCAGGGATCCTCTTCTCTCCAGATTACTGGATCGGGCCTTACCTCCATGTGTTGTTGAGTCTATTGAAAGTTGGTATGCATGAGAAGTTTAAGTAATACTTGCCATAAAAAGTAGAAGTGATGACTGACAAGGAATTGATTATCTCATCAGCAACTTCATTTTTATCTAAGAACGAATTTGATACATGTAGATGTATATAGGTTAAATTGATTGTTAAGATGACAATTTAATCACTTTTCAATATCTTATATCTCCATCTCCCAGTTCTGATTTTTACTTACTTGAAATAAATAGATTCTAGGAATCTCATTTAGCAAAATAAGCAATGGATAGTGCAAACGGTTTTTTCTTACATTCACAACAATATAGGCACTTCTATTTTTTTAGCAATATAGTGCTTAGCTTAAAGTCAGAATGTTAACCAAATGTATTCAATTTGTTCGACTAACCATTGTTCTATTAATAGTTCATTTAATCTAAGGTCAAATGGGTAGATCTTGCTCCATATACTGAGTTAGTATAGGTTACCTAGAAGAGTGCCGCTATGAATGGTTGCTCTCGTGCGATCGACTTTCATACATTAATGCATGGTGAAATTGGCTTAAGGACTTACAAGTCATTTGCTGTCATGCACCGATCTAGACATACGGTCTACTGTAGGAGGTGCAAGGAAAATAATTGAAATACTGAGACTAAAATTAACAACATTTGCAATAACTCAGGTTCCAACAAGAAAGTTCAAAGGAAATACAAGATAAGAAATAGGGAGCACTCCAAACTTTGAACTCTGACTCCTAACCCAAGAACTCCTCGCATCAACTAAGCTTTGTCACCTGCACAATTGCCCCTACACCATGGGAATGGTGCACCGGGTAAAGTAAAAACTCAAATAAGTTGAGAAGTTCGTGTGAGGGACAATAATCCGACTTATTTGGTAATCATAAAATATTTTTATCGACCACAACTTATACACATCAATCATAAAAGCATACTTTATAAATCATAATCAAATCACTGAAAATTCTGAAGAAGTCACGCAAACATTCATTGGCCTTTCTAAATCAAAGGTCCTCGAATTTCTGATTCATAAATACAATGAAAACTATTGCTAGAGCGACACAGTTCTGCTGAAGACTACATCTCCTAATTTTTCACGTTCTAGAATCATTTCAAAAACCAACGAAGCCAAGAGAAGCGATTTTGGGCTACTCAACGAAATCCAAAGTACATTGGGTTCTAGATCAATCAACGGAACCAAACGGATACAATTCCGAGCCACTCAACAGAATCGTGAAGTAGAAGGGATTACTGATCACTCAACGGAATCCGAACAGGATACGATTCCGGACCACTCAGCAGAATCGTGAAGTACAAGGGATTCTAAACCACTCAACAGAATCCAAACGAAAACATATGGATGGATCTCAAACCACTCAGCAGAATCAATACAGAGCAGGGAACTAGACCACTCAACGGAACTCTAGCTAAACCTGATTCTGGACCACTCAACGGAACCGAGCATAATCCAAGGAAACAGTTTCAAACGGCTCAATGAAATAAGACATGACACTTTCAATGCAACGATTCCCCATGTCAATGGGGTTATCAGTCCTCTACTAACCCTCAAGTTCATAAACATTTCAAATATGCAGGTCAAATCACATTTCATGAAAATATAGATCGATGGAAAACTATGAAAGCAATAATATTTAGTAGAAAAACACATTTATAAATTCATGTCATATCCACAAAATATACTAACATGAGGATTTCATGGGTAATCACCATATTACATATATTAAAGTCACTCACTTGAAGTCCGCACTACGGCTTCCTAGCACGCCACTTGTTTGATAAAATAACTGTGACCACTATCTTGAACCGTCGTGCTCAGTATCAGACATACCTGCGATTTGGGTATTGCCATTTGAGTGCTTCAGTATCCAAAAAGTAGCTATGAAGTATGTTGAGTATTATTTGCTTCGAACATCCTTCAATTGTTCCCTTAGTTGTTGTTTTTTGGTTGTTTATCATAGACACAGTTGTTTTTTAGTTGTTTTTTGGTTGTTTATCATAGACACAGTTGTCTATCATAGACACAGTGGCTATTAAGTTGATTGTATTGATATTTTCAGGTGATGTGGAGATGCGCTGGGTTGATGCATATTTCCCATTTACCGACCCATCATTTGAACTTGAGATGTTTTTCAATGTATGCTACTGAGTTCGATCACTTTGAGGGGAAAAAAAGCATTTCAAGTCTCTCCTGTTATGTCATTCTGTTAGAGGTTCTTTCTTTTTCATGGACGGTACCTAAGAGTAATCCATTATGCAGAAGAATGTAGTATTTCCTTACTACGAACAAGTAATAACTAACCAGAATGGTACACACTCAAGTAAGACAAGATAAAAATTAGTGTACGGAATATTGATTGTTGGATAGAGACTATCATGAAACAAGTTTACTGCCACCATGATGCCTGTGGTCACTCAAGGTCATGTGCAAGACTCGTTACATTGCCTTGTATAAGTGGCTCGCAAGTCCAGGGTGACAATGAACCGTTCCACCTAAGTTAAGGTTAAGCACAAAGACAACATATCTCATAACTATGACATCCAAAATGTAGGGTTCAAGATGAAGTTGAAATTCATAACAACAAAAGAGGTTCTTAGGATGATGCCCTTTATGAGGGTGATCAAAATAACAAGTGGAGGACATGGGCATCATTAAATTTGCAGGCCTTTTTTCATCTGCCTTCAATATTCAGATTCATGTTTGGTAGTATTCGTGGTGAAATACTCAGCTTCAACAACTACATCCATCCGGCTACTTTCTTATTTTTCGACTTGAACTGATCCTTGGAAATTGATTGCTTTCCCTAAAACAAAGACAGAAAAACAGAGAAGAATAACACGCGTATAAGTTATGCAGATGACAGACCTGATGGAGCAGAAAGAAACTCACAACCAACAGAAAACTTGCTCACCTGGTGAAAAGGTGCAATCAGCAGTTTCTCTACCGCGGAAAATGACTACATCAATTAAATGTTCGGTATTATTGATCAACATGAAAACACACACATCACCGATTTCCAGACCATTGTCTTGCACAAATGTCATCCAGCCACTCTGGAATTTCAGTACAGTTTTGCTATATTGGTGTAATTTGACAGGCCAAGTTCTTCCACCCGAAACACGAAGAATCACATTATCATGAGTCCTGTTTAGAAGATGTTCCCGGGCAAACTTAGCTTCCAAATTCTGAAATAGAAAGAGAAGCAGGTAAGACTAAATTTTTGGAGTATTTAGAACGTAATTTTCTTTAGCTTAATAGTTTTCATTTCATACTAGCAGAAGTTGTACATGATCTGTCTCTCTAGAAAGCTTACCAAAGTATTTGCCTGGATATACGAGGGACGCATAACAACCATGCAACAAGGGTATTCAGATTTGAAAGCCCTTGCTCTCTGAAGAGCTCTATTTGTTCCGCTTTCTGTAAGTGGATTCATCATCCTAGGAACCTGATTAGGTCTTCGTTTTACTAATTCTTTAGTACAAGACGAGCCACCAAACTTCTTCATGTGGTTTTCTGAAGTGCTAATGGAACCTGCTCTGTTTTTCTTGTGAGGCTGTGTTGCAATTGGTGATTTTTTCTTTGTTTTCAGGCATGGTGGAGAATCGTCCAAGATTTCAACACAACCATCATCTTCATCAGTTTCTTCAGTTTCGGACATTGTTTTTTCACCATCAACGTCTGCAAGCACCCGCAAAAGATTAAGGTGACAGGTAGTTAATCTCTACGGCAATTCCATCAACTAATCAGTTCAGAAATTAATAGACAACTTACCTTGTGACAGGTTCCAACGTGCAGCTTCTGTAGTGCGGAAAATAACAACATCCATTAAACCTTTGATGTTGTTAATCAACGCAAATACACACACATCACCAATTTCCAAATGATTGTCTTGCACAAATGTAATCCAACCATTCTGGAGTCGGACCATGTTTTTCTGACGTTTGCTTAATTTGACAGGCCAAGTTCTTCCATCCGAAACACGAAGGATTACTTGATGATAATTCCACTTAAGAAAGTGTTCCTTGGTAAACTTGGCTCCCAAATACTGAAAAGAAAGAGAATCAGGTAATTTGGAGAGGATTTGCGTTGTAATTTGTTTGAGCTTAATTTTCAGTTTGAAAACTAACACACACATATATGTAGACATAAAATTAGCAGAACTTGTACATTATGTCTCTCTATAAAAAGCTTACCACATAATGTGCATGGATATACGAGGGACTCATAACAACTGTGCAAGAAGGGTATTCAGATTTGAAAGCCTTTGCTCTCTGAAGGGCTCTATTTGTACCATGTGCCGTAACTGGGTTCATCTTCCTAAGAACTTGAAGAGTTCTTCGGTTCATTATTTTTTTAGTCAAAGACGAGCCACCAAATTTCTTTATGCGGTTTTCTGCTGTGCTAACTGAACATGTTCTGTTTTTCTTGTGAGGCTGTGGTGCTATTGGTGATTTCTTCTTTGTTTTCGGGCATGTTGGAAAATCGTCCAAGATTTCAATGGAATCATCATCTTCATCAGTTTCTTCCATTTGGGACATTGTTTGTTCCCCGTCAACATCTGCGAGCACATCACAAAAGATGAACGTGATGGATTGTTAATCTCTATGGCACTTCCATCAATTAATCAGTTCAGAAATTAAAAGACAACGTACCTGGTGGTGAGAATGTATGTGCAGTTTCTGTGGCGCGAAAAATGACAACTTCAAACTCAAGTTTAGTGTCATCTATCAACACAAGTACACACACATCACCAACTTCCAAATTATTGCCTCTTACAAATTCAGTCCAGCCATACTGCAGTCTGAGTTTTGGTCTGGTTGCCTTTTCACATTTCATTTCAACAGACCAAGTTCCCCCATCCAAAACCCGAAGGGTAATGGCACCAGGATGCTTACCGAGACGTCTCATGTGGATACACAATTTTGAAGGCAGCCACTGAAAATAATCAAATGAAGGAAAAGACGATAAGCAAACAAATTTGACGGTCCATGATGGTTGTCTATAGAGAACTTACCACAGAATATCCATTGATATAAGTGCGCTTCATGGGAACTATGAAAGAAGGGTTGTCAGATTTGAAAGCTGTAGCTCTCCGAAGAGCTACAGCAGCTTTTCCTCTTGCATTCGACGCATGCATCCTCCCAAGAACTGTTTGAGCTCGTTTTGGAGTGCTGGACGTGCCTTCACCGTGTCTTTTGGATGCAAACTCAGCTTTGCATGTCAAAGAACACAGTAGGATATTAAAAGTTAGAACAGAATGGCAGAAAGCACAATAAGGTAAAAAATCGGAAGCTAAACATATGTTGCGTATTAATGTTTCAATTTTTATTTCTGATTTTTATTGACTTCTTAAACATCATTTCGTAATGTAATCAGAGTATTTTTTTGGTTTCTGGTTTTACCTGTTGAACTTGTTCTGTGCTTCTTACGAGGCTGAGGACATGACAATGGATATTTGTCCCTTGTTTTTCTTGAGCGGGACATGATGTTGTCCAAGACTTCAACACAATCAGAGTCGTCATCATCATCCCAAGAACTATTGTCGGAATCATCATCTTCATCGGTTTCTTCCATCTCGGGCATTGTCAATGGATAGTTGATCTCTGTGAAATCCTTGTCAAATACACTAACGCGGAATGTTGAATTCCCTTCATATCCGAAAACTAACGAATGACAGCAGTCTAGAGAGCAAAACTTCGAGAACTTTGGCCAACCCTCGCCGAACCAGACCTCACCCTCCCATATTCTGAGTTCTATTTTCCACTCTGAACCAGTTGGAAGCTTAAGAAATACTGGATTCGAAAGATCATCTCCATATTTCCTAAAAAATTTGTTTGGAATCCTCTGCACAACACAGAAACTTGTCACCAAACTGTTCGTATAGTGAAAACAATTATCTGATTTTTGTGGCTATGAAATATATGGGTACATTAACTGCATCAAATCCTATTAAGTCAGACTCTTCATTGTGAGAGGGGTTAAATAATTGAGAGTTTTAACAAAACACTTCCGGTACTGTTCATTTTTAACGAAAAACCACATTTATACATTTCCTGTACTATTCATTATACCTTTAAAAATGACTTTTCTTTAAAAGGGAAGTTTTCTTAGATTTTTCGTTAGTTTTCCTTAAATACTTTGGTGCCGTTTGATAACCATTTCATTTTCAGCTTTCAGAAAACCAAAAACTAACAACTTAAAAGCTAAATTTTGAGAACTAAAAAGAGTAAGGAATGTTTGATAATCATTTCGTTTTTTGTTTCAAACTAATCTCCAAAATCAAGCACGGACATTAAAGAGAGAGAGAGAGAGAGAGAGAGAGAGAGAGAGAGAGAGAGAGAGGGAGGGAGGGAGAGAGGTACTCACAAGTTTGGTCTGTGTACAAATAGACTTCGGAATAACTACTAGGAAATGGGGAGCTTTAAGATGTGTTTTTGAAGAGAAGTCATGAATTTTCCGGTGAAAAGAAGCCATTTTTTTGAAGTTCGTCAAAAGCTTGAAGATCTGCTTCAAAGCTTTAAAGTTGTCAGCAGATCACTCAGCCGAGCTCCAGTTTATGGACTAGCAAGAAGAAGGTAGACTGGCAAACTAATTAAGTGCTTGAAGAATTAAATGCTCAGTCCACCAACTCAATCGTTATTAATTCAGTTCACAACTTAATGCTTGTTCTTGAAGTCATTGTAGTGCAGTGGTACATGAATGCATTAATGTGTCTGTACATGTATACTCTGACTCTAACTACCAAATCCAAATCCCTCATATTAATGAGAAATATTAATTGGGAACAGGATTACTTAGGCGTCCTAGTACAATAATGTCTTACCATACCCAAATCCCCCATTATTAATGAGAAATATTAATTGGGAACATGATTACCACTACCGGGCGTCCTAATTCAATAATTTCATACCGAGCTTAAGTTTTTTCTAAGTTATAACAGTAAAAAAAGATAACCACTAATTGTTTCCAATCAAAATGCCAAATCTTATGTGGCATGACATGAAATGGCAGCAAAGAGACTTGCTGTCAAACTTCAATTTTTTTTTACTAATTATTAAATGTCTTTTATTAATATTTTAATGTCATTTATTATTTGATTGTTGAACGGTAGAGTTGGTTTAAAACACTACCTATTTCTTCTTTTTTAATCAACAAATTTGTTTCAATTTAAGCAGTTGATTGTTGAACGGTAGAGTTCATCTAAAACACTACCTATTTCTTCTTTTTTTAATCAGCAAATTTGTTTTAATATAAGCAACATTGCTGCTTTGTAAAATACAGTGATTCGTTCTTCAATAGGTATCCTTCGTTATTTTGTGAACATGCCCCAAATTTTTTCAGACTCATCTTCTAATTCAACATATGAGCATTTTTGGAGTATTGTTAATTCTGAATTTGATGAATAACTGGAAAGGCTGGAATTGGTTGCTTTACAAAATGAACAAGAGAACATGGAGACATGAATGAGAAAACGGCGTGGCTCCATAAAAGGCAATGCATATATCAATAGAAAGTAGTGCAGAATATGATAGGCTAGAGTGCCAATAGTGGCAACCTTTTAGAAAGAGTGCGGCTATACACACTTGCCTATTGTATTTTTTTCACGATCTTATAGTTACAAAATTTGTAAGCAGTTTTAGGCCCCGTTTGGGATTGAGGTGATTTTAAAAAAAGCCACTGTGAAAAAAAGCTGATGGTCATTTTTGTGTTTGGTAAACTGAAAAAAAAGGGGCTTATTTTGGAAGCTGCTGTGAGAATAAGCTGAAAATCAAAGGAAAAGCTGAAGCTGCTATTTGCTGCTTTGAAAAAAAGCCATTTTTTTCAAAGCACACGGAGCTACAGTGCTCCTTTAATGAAAAGACACACTATCATCCTGCTTTTTTTTTCAAAAGCACTTTCACAAAAAAGTTTACCAAACACTTTACTGGCTTTATTTCACAGCCGCTTATTCTAACAGCACAGCCGCTTATTCTCACAGCAGCTTTTTTTCAAAGCACAGCAATACCAAACCAGCCCTTAGTGCCCTTGCACTTGCCTTGCCCTTGTCCTCCAAAAAATCACTTCCAACAGTCCGTTTGGTGAAGGGCAATTGGTGGGCCAACACATGCCTGTCCAAAAGCCCGAGTAGCTTGAGCTCGGCCTTGTGCTAGTGGTCAAGGTTGACGTCAACATGGTGTCAGCCACATTTTTTTTTTTGTGTGTTTGACGCGTGATGAGAGATAGTGGGCTGATTGTTGCTACTGTCATGGCCCCCAAGCTATCAAAGCAACTCAGCTCCCCAACAGCTATACACGTGGCATTTATGAGCAGTTGGATTTGAAACGGTCTCAAGATTCAATAACTAAAATTAATCTTGTTCAAAATTTTATTTAATAATTTAAAATTTTGAATAAAGGTTTTAAAAAATTATAGAAATTAATGAAAATTCATAAATAAATATATTTAAAAATACAAAAATATTATATATTTTTCTAAAGACACCCAACCATCTTCTTCACTACCATATCAAAAATCTAACGCTTTCGCTAGTTATTAAATAACTTAATTATGCTTTAAAATTAAAAAAAAATACATTTGTAAGTATGAATCGTCCTTGTCCTTACTTTTAGCTCAACGGGTGGACTTACACAAAGGTAATCACTTTTCAAAAGGCAATTTACATGCCCTTACCCTTGCTTAGCCCTTGCCCTCTTAAGAGCAAGTCCACTGTTTGCCCAAGTGACAAGGCAATTGGGTTGAATTGCCTTTGGCTGCAAAAGGTGGTCCACTGGTGTAAAAAATGGAGGGCATTTGGACCAAGGGCTTGTGCTTTTTTAACTACAGGAGACGATAGAGTGGGGCCCACCCGCGTGCACAACCCAGAGTCAAATGACTTATTTTTCCTCCAACTTGTGCCGTTAGATTTCCAACAGTAAAAAAAAGTTGCAAAACTTTATGCAGCTACCAAGTGGCGCAATTTGGGGCATCCAATATAAATAATTTTGATTTTGAACGGTTAAAGATTATTCTAAAGGTAAGCAAATTCAAAAAATAAACCCAAAAACTAAAACAAAAAAACAAAAAAAAAATACCCAAATTTTTTTTTCTATAAGTACCCAACCATTATCTTCATTTCTTGTATTTGAAATATATTATAGAAATCAAACAATCATTTTATTTTCAATGGTGGGCTAAAAGCCAAATTACCCCCCAAAATTTCCCCTCAAACCCACTCCAACCCAAGGGGAAAATTTGGGCTAAATGCTAAATGTTAAATGCTAAACCAATGCCAGATTCCTCCAGAAATTTAGCCCAGAAATTTGAATTTAAAATTTTCAATATTTATTGGAATTTAAAATTTTTTAGATTAAAATGTTCATAAAATTAATTTACGATAGTCTACATATTTATTTATTTTTTTAAAATTTAATTTAACAAAAAAAATAGTCTAAGTTCATTTTTTAATAATCTTAGGCTAAAATTTTAGGCTAAAAAGGTTGGAGCAAAAAAGCTGTTTCTGGATTAAAAGCTAAATTTTTCGGATTAAAATATTTGACTTTTAGCCCAACATGGTCTCATAAAACAAATTCATCAAAGCATAAAAAAAAGTAATAAAAAATAAAAAATAAAATTTTGAATACTGCCTTGCCCTTTTTGCTTTTCACAGACGGATTGATTTCCAAAAGGACAATTACTATTTTTAAAAAAATGAGGAAAATGACGAAAGGCTCAATGGCATTTGAACTTCCACGTTGCACCTGACATGCGAAGCCACGTAAACTTTGCCCCTCTGAAAACTTTGCCTGCCCATATTCACAAAGAAGCCATTCTCACATCCCCAGCCCACCCCAGCCCACATCCCAGACTAGCCGAAAGGGCATCTCGTGTAATTCCCATGAACTTAAAGGTCAAGGTAATTTTAGCTTTCACTAAATAGTCACCCGGATACGAAGGCTAAACTAACAGTTTGTCATTCATGGCGCTTCTGTTTCCCGGCGGTGGTTGGTGCGTACGACTACGAGTAGGCCACTCGTCGCGGCCGGCGCACGTTAGACCGAGCTTTGTTACCTTTGCTACAGTGTCCCCAAGGACCCCAGCCAAAGGCGACAGAGTGGACTGGGTGGAAGCAACTTCAGGCTTCTTTGAAAATGACACGAGGCCCATCATGTTGTTCGACGGTAATAACGATTCATTTTAGCACTTACCGTACTCGTCATGCTACTTTGCGCTTGGTGTAGAAACAGTACTTTATGGCTTGTGTATTTGTTTAAGAATCCATCTTGTTTGTGTTGTGCAATATGGGATTAGCTAATTGAGACTGGCTTTCTAGGTTACATATTTGATATGTGATAGGTCAACTTTTTTCTTTTCTTGATAAAGATTTATTGTAAGCCATTCTAATTTGCGGGGAGCGGAATTCAAACTTGGGTGCAACAGAGTGGGGACACTACACAGACTAACTGGTCTAACCTACGTCACGTCTGTATAATAAGTCACGTTTAGAATAAGTTGCAAAGGAAAATACAAATATATTTTTGTCCATCTTGTAGTTTTACTCCATGGAAGATAGTGAATGAGGCTAGAACATCATAATATGTTACGTATTTCTGTAATTCTTAATATGGTTATGTTCTAAACTACTATGTTTTAGAGTTTAGTTGGATTCGTTGGTGCAGAACGTGAGCACCAGGCGAATTCTGCAGTTGTGTTACAGATACAATGAAAACTCATGATCGTTGATTTTTTTACAGGTGTTTGTAACTTGTGTAATGGAGGTGTAAAGTTCGTGCGGGATAATGATCGAAATAGGTTCGATTCTCCTCTTCCTTTGATTGTTTGTAGACTCTATTATGATCATCGTTAAGGCAACAAGATTATATTTAGTAGGGAAAACAATGATCTCTTTTCTTCATATATATAATCCTTAAGTTTGAAGAGTGCAAATTATTTGGTATCTTATGAGGTTTATCTTCAATCTTCTACTCGTGTTGTTATTGTTTAATCCACTTCTGACAGGAGCATAAGGTTTGAAGCTCTCCAGAGTGAAGCAGGGAAGAAACTGCTCAGAAGGTCCGGAAGAGCTCCTGATGATATTTCAAGTGTTGTTCTTGTTGAAAAGGATAGGTATATACAATGACCTCATTGCTAATCTGGAGCGGTTTTTAACAATTATCAAGGTTTTGATGAATGATAACATTTTTCTCGTTTACATGAACTTTTCTCATATTAATGACGTTCTCGTTAGTGTTATGGTCTCTCAGTTTGACAATACTAACCGATAATTTATACGAGTAACATTGATAACTGACATGGTGAATTTGAGAATTTCAGATCATTTATCAAGTCAGAAGCTGTTGTGAAGATAATGGAATATATAGACTTGCCCTTCCCCCAGCTAGCGTTTTTTGCACAGTTTATACCTCTGTAAGTCATCCCCTCTTTGTTCTTTATAATTTTTGCCTGTCAAGATTCAAACTGATGGACGATGCCATGGTAATACACTATGTCCATAATTGATAATTTTTTTTTCTTCTTCCGGATGAATGCAGTTTTGTAAGGGATTTTCTATACGACAATGTAGCAAACAACCGTTACACAATCTTTGGTCGCTCAGACACGTGTGAGATATAGGCATTTGAATACTTAAGTTTCCTACTGAAGGTATGTATATTGTAAAGTACGGATATGATGAATTTTGATTTTGTAATGTAAGTTTGACTTCCATTTTAATAGAATGAAAATTTATCTAATTTGTTTTAAAAGTTTCTTACTATATAGCTTCATATTAACACGACGTCTAGAAGTACAGTTTGCATGTGAATTGGAGGCTAAGCTGCCTTCCTTCAACAGTCCTTGGGTTGATTAATCAAAATGTAGAAAAATTCTGAAACAGAAATTACAGAACTCATCTACATTGCTACCTCGATTAAAATATAACATAGCATTGCCTTCATCTCCATCTCCTTATCCTAGAAGACTCCCTGCTGTCCTTGCTTATATTCCGTTCCTCTTCTGTATGTGCTAAAATCACTTTGTTAATCCTGTTTTTGAGGTCAAGTGCACTACCATGAACACCCGCAAGTGTGTTTTGAGTATATGATCATATATGTTTGTGGGGATACCGTATACGTATTAAGTCATTCTGACAGCCCTGTGTTACCATCTTGAAATTTAGCTTAAAACTCACTATGCTCATTCACAGACAAAAACAATTTCTAGCAAAGACTTACCAACAAAAGTGTCATAATTTGTTATTGATAAGAAAGTATGTATGTGTGTGTGTGTGTATATATATATTTGTAATGTTTGAGCCTCATGAACTTATAAAGCGATTATTTAGCGTTTTTCTTATAACATGTCAAACCATGTTCGAAATGTAGTAGCTTCTAGTCTGGTTTGTGAGATATATTCATTTCGTACATATACATACATACATTTACATCTGAACATTCACAAATATACATCCGAATGTCAGCAAGTTAATTAGATGCACTTTAGATATGCATGTCTCTCTTTTTTCTGATATACGGAAGTATAGTTTATGGTGTGCCTTGTTTTTCCGTCGTGTAGAGGAGGTGGTGTTATACCTGCAATTCTTGAGTAGGCAGTTGAGCTCTCTAGATTATTCGTTTGATTTCTAGAACTTAAGGTAGATTTTTCAGTGCCGGAGGACCGTATAGCTTACCAAAGCCGTATGTGTATCTGCAATGGATGAGAAAGGTGAAATGTTAATCAGGGACTGGAGGTTGCTTGATTTTGATTTGTATTTAATAGTAAATTTCTGAAAGGAAAGAATCAAATTACTAACTTACCCAAGAACTAAGAAAACAAAAGCAGTGATCCCTAGCACATACTGATAGAACTTGTGCCTAGATTTACGTCTTCCCTCGTAGGTTGATGGAAGGTGCCTGCTGCTTATATAACCATACTGTGGACGAACTAGAATAACAAAGCCAAGGAAAAATCCTGCAAGGAATCCTCCTATATGAGCTGAACTGTCCACTTTAGGTATAAACCCAACAGCCATATTCACGGCAATGACAACCATGAGTATCAGGAGCGCTGTGCACTGAATAGCAAAGTTAGATCTTAGACGTATCCCTCATCGATTTGAGCCTCAGCATTAAAAGCTGTTGTATTTTAGATGCCGGCATAGCTGGGGTTCTTTAAAAGAAAAGAAAGGTTACCTTATTCACGTAGATTGTCCAGTTTATTAGAAGCTCGGAAAGCATGGCTCCCAGCAATCCAAAAAGTGCTCCAGATGCACCAACTGAGATAGTTGGGCTTGCGGTTCTCATGCGATGTAGAGTCGATCCTAAACTTCCTCCTATTCCAGCAAGCAGATACAGGAACCCTATTCTGACTGCCAAATCAAAACAGTTAAGAATAGTTAGCATGCATTAATCATGTAAAAACCGAGTTGACATCTCCTGAATCTTAAGTTCTTACTAAATCCGAATTCCTGCTCAAGCCTTATTCCTATGAATAGAAGGCTCAGCATATTGAAGAGCAAGTGAACGACTCCAGCATGAAGCCACATGCAAGACAAGAGGCGCCATCCTTCGCCCCCTTCCACCACTAATTGCAGTTCAAGGGCTCCTAGTTTCTTTAGACTGCAAACATTAGCAATTAGATTAGGTTTTAACATGACCGTTCAAGAAGTTATAGCTTAACGTATGCCTAGTTCAGTTAAGAATGATTTCCAAGTTGGCACAGCAATCGGACACATTTCCTTGTTTGACTTTGGGGTCCGAAAGACACTGCCTCCTGCATTTTGGGGTAGCATAGATTCATAGGAAGGGACATTGTTGCTAAGACCTAGAGCATTTTGGGGTAGCGTAGATTCATAGGAAGGGACATTGTTGCTAAGACCTAGAGGACGGGAGAATGCGACTACCCTGGAATCTTATGTTGGCTATGGCGCTCGATAGATTAGGGTACTTAAGCAAGACATAAGAATCCGAATATCAATTGGTGCTTAAGCAAGAGGTAAGAGCAAGTATGCTATACAGAACAAAACATAGTATTGAAGGTATCTTCTTTGTTCAAATTAATCATGTTTTAGTCTTAATCGAATTCTGTAATTAGTTCTTGTTTCTGTAATCCAAAACTATCTCAATTGCAGAAGATTAGACGCAGGAGTTGAATTAGTTTTATGCAAGAAAACAAAATAAAAAATAAGAGACAAAAAGTAGAAATCATTGGGAGAGGTAGGAGGAGATTCTTACGTAAGTGCGGCAGGACCAAGAAGAGGGTTTTCTCTGAAGGGTTGGAAAGAGAACCTCTTAAAGAAAGGAAAAAGACACTTTTCCCCTGTAGTTGGACAGTCATTGACGTACATCGTGTACACGAACATGGCAACATTGACGACAAACACGATTGGCATGAGCCACGGCACCCATGGCTTAGGAGGAGGGGGGCACAAATGGGGCGGGGGCATGGAATGCCGAGACTTTTGTCTCTTTTCGCGCCCCTTCTCCATGTCTTCGGAGGATGGCGGTCTCTCCCCCATTTTTTCCGGCCACGGGGGGTGGTAGAGGAAGAGGAAGAGGAAGAGGTAGAGGCGCACACTGCACCGGCGCTTTTGGCAGATGCTAATGTGCACCACCAAGTTACAGGGAGGACTAAAATGAGAGATATTGGCACTGGGTGGCAAGGAACGAGTTTGGCTAGGTTGGTAGTTAAGTTTGGTACTCTCCTTGATTATAGATATCTGGAAATTACTTTATGGCCCTGCTATGTTATGACCTCTATTCTTTAACAAAAAAACAAACAGACAGAAAAATAAAAATTCATTTTTTGCCAAAAATAAATAAGATTGGTACTGTATAAAAGGTTCAACTTAATAACCAATTCAATGTTGAAAGTTGCTTTAGTTTAGTTTGCTAATTAAGAAAATAAACATAGTTCGAGTTGGAATTAGGACATATTAGTAACGATCAAGACACGTAGGGATATAATTAGGCAATAACATTAGGGGCTATGAGTACTTTGGGGGCTCAACAGAAATAAGTTATCCCATTGCAGATTCCCTTGTTACATTTAGAAACTGTGGTAGAAACACCAGCCTGTAGTAGTTTTGTATTTGTTACAGGACTCAGCTAATCAGCCATTGCTTCTACACAGTGTTTAAAATATCGGTATTAGTGGAAATGTTGAACGCAAATTTGTGGAAATATTGATGCATAATCGAATATCAATATCGATATTGGTTGCTTTTAATTGAAATGATGAAATATTAAAATGAAACTTTAGCTACTGTCAAACATTGGTTTTGACGAAATATACGAGTTTCTTCGATATTTAACATATATGTAAGAAATATCCACGATATATGTCGATTTAGCCTAAACTTAAAAGAGTTTCTCCGATATGAGGTGAAGTTTAGGCTTCACCTCCATTTCCATATCTTTCTCTATTTTTTTCGAATCCTTATGAAAATGAATCTAGAACGAAATCACGCTAAAACTAGGGCTTCACCCGTAAGTGGCGCGCTGTGTGGCCCGAGCATAGTGATAAGTGAGCAAGGGTCGTTGTATCTCCATCGACACCCGGATGCAGTGTTAAATGAGCAAGGGGGGCATAGAAACTTCTTTTCGAACGACTCCACTCAAAGTTGTTTGGGAGCATATGCTCCTATCAACTTTACACAGGACACACAAAAGAAGTACTTTGATCCTATTGGACGGGGGAGGGTGAAGAAGCTAGGACAGAAGGGTAGAGCTCAAGAGAGTAGAATGCGTTTAGGAATGTGGAATATAGGAACCTTAACGGGGAAAATCTATGGAAGTAGTGGAAGTTATGGTGAGGAGAAGGATAAATATTATGTGCCTACAAGAAACTAAGTGGGTTGGTCTTAAGGCAAAGGATCTAGAAAACTCAGGGTTTAAACTTTGGTATTCGGGCACAAATAGAATGAGAAACTGTGTTGGCATCATTGTGGACAAGACCTTGACACAAGATGTTGTAGATGTCAAGAGGGTAGGAGATAGAATCATGGCAATCAAGATTGTAATAGGACAAGAACTCATCAATGTGATTAGTGCGTACGCACCTCAAGTAGGGTTGGATACAAGTTCGAAGGAGAAATTTTGGGAAGACCTTGGAGACTTGGTGCAAGGAATTGCCCAAACGGAGAAGTTATTTATAGAGGAGATTTAAATGGACACGTGGGTAGGGAGACAGGCAACTATGGAGGTTTTCATGGTGGCCATGGTTTTGGGGAGAGAAACGAGGATGGGGAAGCTATCTTGGATTTTGCAATGGCATATGATCTCTTCTTAGCCAACACCTTCTTTAAGAAGAGAGAAGAACATGTGATCACCTACAAGAGTGGGTCGTCAAAAACACAAATAGATTTTCTTCTAATGAGGAAAGGGGATCGTATAACTTGTAAGGATTGCAAAGTTATACATGGAGAGAGCTTGGCTAATCAACATCGCTTGTTGGTGATTGATGTACATATCAAAAGAGTGAGAAAAAAGAACAAGACTTGGAAGTGCCCAAGGACTAGATGGTGGAATTTAAAAGGAGAAAAACAAGTCATTTTCAAAGAGAAAGTAATCACCTAGTATGGGTGGGATAGAGAGGGGGAAGTTAGCCAAAGGTGGGATTCCATGGCTAGTTGTATCCGAAAAGTAGCAAAAGAGGTATTAGGAGAGTCCAAGGGCTCTGCTCCACACCAAAAGGAATCTTGGTGGTGGAATGAGGAGGTACAAACAAAGGTGAAGGCTAAGAAAGAATGTTGTAAAGCCTTATACAAGGACATGACCGATGAAAATGGTGAAAGGTATAGAAGAGCGAAGCAAGAGGCGAAGAAAGCTGTGAGATAAGCTAAGTTAACGGCTTATGACGACATGTATAAGCGACTAGATACCAAAGAAGGAGAGTTGGATATCTATAAACTAGCTAGAGTAAGGGAAAAGAAGAGAAGTGACCTAAACCAAGTGAGGTGCATCAAGGATGAGGATGGAAAGGTTTTTGCTACAGAGAATACAATCAAAGACAAATGGAGAGGTTATTTTCATAATCTTTTCAATGAAGGACATGAAAGGAGTACTTCTTTAGGGGAGTTGAGTAACTCAGAAGAGTAGAAACTACTCCTTTTATCGTCAAATCAGGAAGGAAGAAGTGGCTGTAGCTTTGAAGAAGATGAAGCATAGAAAAGCAGTGGGCCCAGACGATATACCGATCGAAGTGTGGAAAATCTTGGGAGAGACAGGTATAGCATGGCTCACTAACCTTTTCAATAGGATTTTGAAAACGAAGAAAATGCCAAATGAGTGGCAAAAGAACACTTTGGTGCCTATCTACAAGAATAAGGGTGACGTACAAAATTGCATGAACTATAGGGGTATTAAGCTAATGAGTCATACAATGAAGCTCTAGGAGAGAGTCATTGAGCATAGATTGAGGCAAGAGACACGGGTTTCGGACAACCAATTCGGGTTCATGCCAGGGCGTTCAACCATGGAGGCAATCTATCTCTTACGAAGATTGATGGAAAGATATAGAGATGGGAAAAGGATTTACACATGGCCTTTATAGATTTGGAAAAAGCGTATGATAGGGTCCCAAAAGACATTCTTTGGAGGATTTTAGAGAAGAAAGGAGTACGAGTAACATATATCCAAGCTATAAAGGATATGTATGAAGGAGCAAAGACTGCCGTAAGAACTCATGAAGGACAAACCGAAAGCTTCCCCATAACTGTAGGATTACATCAAGGCTCATCCTTAAGTCCTTACCTTTTTGCGTTGGTAATGGATGAGTTAACAGGACATATTCAAGATGATATTCCTTGGTGTATGCTTTTCGCAGACGATATAGTGTTGATAGATGAAAATCAGGAAGGGGTAAATGTAAAGCTTAACCTTTGGAGAGAAGTGTTGGAATCTAAAGGTCTTCGCCTAAGCCAATCAAAGACAGAATTTATGGAGTGCAAGTTCAATGCAAATAGAGGCCAAAATGAGTTAGGGGTGAGGATCGGAGATCAGGAAATACCAAAGAGCGATCGTTTTCGCTACTTAGGATCTATCTTGCAAAAGAACGGAGAATTAGATGGAGATCTCAACCATAGAATACAAGTTGGATGGATGAAGTGGAAGAGTGCATCCGGCGTGTTGTGTGACCGCCGTATGCCACTGAAGCTTAAGGGAAAATTTTATAGGATGGCAATAAAGCCGGCGATGCTGTATGGCACAGAATGTTGGACGGTGAAGCATCAACACATACACAAAATGGGTGTAGCGGAGATGAGGATGCTTCGTTGGATGTGTGGGCACACGAGAAATGATAAGATTAGGAATGAGGATATCTGAGGTAAAGTAGGAGTAGCCGAAATTGTAGGAAAATTGAGAGAAAATCGATTACGGTGGTTTGGACATGTGCAAAGAAAGCCTACTGACGCTCCGGTTAGAAGATGCGACTACGGGACAGAGGTTCAGGGCCGAAGGGGTAGAGGAAGACCTAGGAAAACTTTGGAAGAGACTCTAAGAAAATACTTAAGAGTATTTGGATCTAACGGAGGACATGACACAGGACCGAGCACAATGGCGTTCTAAGATTCATATAGCCGACCTCACTCAGTGAAGAAGGCTTTGGTGTATTTAACACAATACGTTGAAATGAAGCAAAGCTTATTTATTGATATCTCTGATAAGTTACAAATATGTACATATACATGAGTCAAAATAAACAAACAAGAGGGAGCCTTCACAAAGGTTGCTTCGGAGAAGTCTCAGCAGTCGGTAGAGCCCCAGAAAGAGAAGGCACCGGAGGGGGATCATTTGGAGCCTCAGTACTGGACAGAACCCTAGAAGGAGGAGACATCAGAGGTTGATCATTTGGAGCTTCATTACGCGGTACAGCCCCAGAAGACGAAGACAATAAATGCCTTTGGAACAAACCCACAAACCGCTGATGATCAAGTAAAACCTGACCATCAGATTCCTTCATCTGGTCAAGCTTCCTCCTCATGTTTGTAGCATAGTCATGTGTGAGCCGGTGCAACTGTTTATTCTCATGCTTGAGCCCTCTAATCTTCTGTTTGAGACTCATCACTTCAGCCGCCAATGATTCAACTTGGCGGGTTCGAGCAAATAGGCGTTGGGCCATATTAGACACAGAATCTGCACATTGAACACTTAGAGCCAGATAATCCTTAACAGCCAACTCATCAGACCGTTTGGAAAGTAGTCTGTTATCTTTGGGAGTGAGAAGGTTCCTCGCCACCACCGCAGCAGTCATATCATTCTTCATCACGGAATCCTTAACGGTAAGAGGACCAGTAGGGGATAAGAAAGATGGGCGCCATATGTTGTCTGGAAAAGGCGTGGCTACCTCTTCAACAAGGTTCAAGTCAAAACGACAGTCGGAGGGGCTAGACATTTTCAGAGGTGTTGAAGAGAGAAAATGTTGGACAAATCAAGATCTTATAAGTGCAAGAATGGAACTTTTACTGGTGAAGATTCAAGTGTGCTTTGGAATTTAATGCCAGCCTCTATAAAAATTTGCACTCGACGGAGCTTAAGAAATCGAAGAGGCGTCTGCCCAGAAATCGAAGAGGCATTTGCTTTCTCAAAAGCTGGGCTGCTCAGAGACCACGAGGGCCGATCTTAGAAATCGAAGAGGCGTTTACTTTCTCAAAAGTTGGGCTGCTCAAAGA